GTTTAGCTTGAGAAAAGAAATTTGATATTTAACTGCTTAACCAACCATTAAATAGGCGAATTTCAAGGTCATTGCTATCTACCTTTTTTTGCAAGACAGTAGACCCTTTTTTGACCTCCGATTCACTTAAAATCAATCATACGCGCATCTAAACTCACCCAAATTGACCATCAGAGGCAGTTCGGCTCAAATAATTGCTCTGACAGTCTGCGGTTTGATTGTAGACTTGAGAGCTACGGGCACATCATTTGTGCGCGTTTCCACTATGGTGGCGATTGCAGTCGGAAGTGTATACCCGACCCGGAGCGCTACGCTTGTGATGTGAACGGCTACAAAAAGTGCAGACGAGGTGCGGTCCAACACTGTCTCGCCTGTTTATTTGGACATTTCATCACACACCCATAAGGGTTCGTGTGCTTCGCTTGCAAGCATGGGAAGTCACATGATTGATAACAAACCACTGTTTACAACAGAATTGCATTCCCACCTCCAAGACAACCATGCTATTCTACTGTTGACCTCAATTATTTGAAAGTTATTGGTTTGTCTAAAATAGCTTATTCTTACATGAATACTCGACAAGCGAACCAGTTTACACTTTATGGATCCCATTTGGTTCTTCAACCCAATTTCACCGTGTAAATTTCACTACTTCAATTGCTTGATAGACGATTTGTGAAGGGTTAAATTATAAACCGTCATGCGCACAGGTTTGGAGGTGGTTTTTAAAACTATTTGCCTAAATGTGAGTTGGAAAAATTCGAATAAAGTGTATAGAGCAACTTAAAATGAAAGGACACTTACGAGAAGGAGAAAAGTGATTTGCATCAACAGAGATGAATAACCACAGTAGCCTTTTGCTAGTTACCATATTGTGATTTTGGGTTTTTTAGGTGTCGAATGCGACCAACGCGACTACTGCCTGAATCACACTTGTGCTGAATTTGCCGAGTGCAAAACTACCCTCTCCGGCTTTGAGTGCTGGTGTTTTCAAGCAAAAGGTAAATAACCACTCCTTTATTGGCTTAAAATAACTACCCCATTGTTCTCAAGTTTAAAAGTCTGTGTACGAAGTTT